TGTGGAGCGTGGGCATCATCCTTCAGTAGACCCAAACCATCCGGTACCTTGTCGTTCTCAAACAGCCGAGGTTGACATCGATGCTGAACGTAGCTGTCATCAGTCTCCAGCACTCAGAGAGAGATCAGCCCTGCTGTCAGCCGAGCAGTAACTTTGGTCACCCCGGTGCATCGTCCGAAAACGATTTGAGCTGCAGAAAGAATAATATCATTGCCCAGAGAAAAGGTGCTCGTACGGGTCAACTTGCCCAGGCTGAACGCATGGTCAAACGGAGTCCTTATGCCCTCAGCGCCTTCTGGGAGAAGACTCCATCAATCGCGACAGGGTGGTATCTCTGCGAGAAGCCGTTACCTTTGAATCAAACTGTGGTGGACAGGGTCTTGTCAAATGCAACTGCGCAGGACCCCAAAAGTGTCGAACAAACAGATGCAAGTGCTTTAAAAACAAAGTTGAATGTAACGGTAGGTACCACGCTAGCATGACTTGTGCTAATAAAGTCTAAACTTGGACCTCTTTGACAATGCTTCAATTCGGGGATATATAACTGAAAATTGTGTGAACAGTATTCACATGTCATCTTCATATGCACAAATGAAGGACAACTTGTATGGTACCTAATTGTATTTCATGACCTGAAGGAATGTGTGAACAGTAGTTTCAATTGCACCATGACTTGCACAAACAAATTGCAAAGTGTGAATACTTGCACATGCGTGTATTAACGTTTTTATGTGTTGAAATAAAGTGTGAATAGTAGTTGATATCTTTGCATTATTAGTTCCCATAGGTCCCATTTTTTAGTCATTACACGGAATGACTAGGTATTTGAGTCATTATGTGAAATGACTGGTGGTCACAGCCATTACACGTAATGCCTAACAATGTTATTCATTACTTGTAATGACTGGTTTCATATATTACCTGTAATATACATATATATATATATATATATATATATATATATATATATATATATATATACATATAATATATATAAATGTATATATATATATAGATATATATAAATATATATATATATATATATATATATATATATATATATATGAATATATATATATATATAAATATATATATATATATAAGTTATAAATATATATATTTATGTATATTATATATATATAAGTCATCGGCCAGAAGCAGCGACACTCCAGTTATGCTATATTTGATGCATCAGTCGATAAAATGTAACCCTTAGTAATGCTGATAGGAAAATCTAAGGGAATAAAAACACAAAATAGAGTTTGAGGGTAGTGAGGCTGTAGTTGTAGATGTTGTGTTTATGTTAGGGGTCCAGTTCTTGTGGACGATCTTGGTGGGTACTTTAACTCGAGATAAGGTCCAAAATGCCAAATCGCTTCCTGAAACCGTCACCTCAGCATCCATACGACCGAACAATCAGCCCCTCGTCTAGGTGACCTGGCATCCCCGGACCCGCCCTCCTTAGAGGTAGTTCATCTTGGAGCGTCATTGAGTGCGGGTGAATCAGTGTTGATTCCAGGAACTCATTAAAAGAAAACTGCGAAACTAAACGTAAGAACTATAAAAAGAGATTTAAGATTATTTCAAGTATTAGTGCGGAGTTAACTATAGATTCCAGTACGTCCCCCCCCAAGTTAGTGGACGACGGGCCAAGGAACTATTATCCATTTGTAAGTACTTTTACGAAATAAATTTGTAAGTTATTTTTGTACAGTGTTTCATATAATCCCATTTGTCATTCCTACATTATAGGACACTGAACAAGAAGGGAACTACACCACAGAGATACGGTGTGGGAGAAACACAGTGGTAGACGAAACAAAAAGAAACTACACTTGCACAAGTGAAATCAGTCTATTATCTATTAACTCAATGAGTGCGGGTGACAAGACTACAATACCATGCCCACTGTAATTAAAGTTTTATCTGTTGCCTTTACATATAGATATAGATAGATAGTCACCAAGGAGTCAGCTGTTTGTCTTACCTATCTCATCTGTTTACCCTTTTCCTTCATTTTTTGAAAGCTTCACTTCTATTATTTTGTTGTCTTTGATGTTATTAATATTTTAACAATAATTTTATAATCATAATATCAATAAGAATAATCACAGGGTCAATATTAATAGTACTGAAGAGAAAAATATATTTTCCCACCAATTCAAGGAATGGGGAAATCAGAGTCGGTCACTAGGGCCAACTGACAGACTCCCTGCCGCTGAGCACACGTGGAGCCATCTGTATGTAACAAAACTCACTAAAATCTAAGTAACCCCGCTGACATCGGATTAAAAGAACTTATCAATCTCTTGGACGATAATGATATATATGAATGTGGATATATCAGTAATGATGGTATATATAAGTAATAATAAATTTAATCCATTGCAAGGTTGTACAGGATTAGTGGTGAACACTAGGGCAGAATGTTACCATACTGATCTGAAGTTTCAACGATGAAAAATAGTATTAAATTTACCTGAAATGAAATTGTTGTTAGGGATTACCCAGCCTAACATATATATATATATGTATAATATATATCATATATATATAGATACATGTATATAAACATATATACATACATATATATATATACAAATATCTATCTATCTATATAAATATACATATACATATATATAAATATACATATATATATATATATATATATATATATATATATATATATATATATATATATTATATATATATATACATATATATTATGTATATGTATAATATATATGTATATATATAATTATATATATAACATATGTAATATATATATATATATATATATATATATATATATATATATATATATATACATATATGTATATATATATATATATGTGTGTACACAAGGGGGGGCTGTTTCCACGTCTAGATTTCATTATTAAACCCTATGTTATAGCACTCTGCTTTGTATAGTCTTTACATTGATACCATGGGTGTCCATAAATGTTGTGGAATGGGCATACAGGAATGTTCTGGCCTTCGCGAGAAAAATGGCCATGATGTAAGCATTTGTGGCAGACAGATTTTCAGGGATCCAGTTGGTAGGACGAGGGATTGGGGTGTTTTGATAAGGTGAGTTAGGGGTAGCAGTTATAAGCCTCCGGGCTAATATAGTGGTAACGTTTCGGTCTCTTATCCGAATGGGCGGCGGTTCGCGCCCCGCCCAGGCGCGAGAAGTTAAAATGATCTCTCGGAGGTTACTACTGTGGTAAGGCCAGCGGGGGGGGGGGGGGATTGAGTTGGCGTGTTGGCACACGAGCGAGGTCAGTGGAGTGTTGGGGTTGGGAAGGAGAGGTCGGTTTCGTAGATAAGGCGTTGGTTACATGCACATCATTGCCGGCAATATCTTAACTGCCTTAGAAAAAACGTCCTTCAGTTCAACAATGTTATCTATCTCTACTATTTCACGCCAAACTTTCTCCTGGCACAATGGGGTGAGTGATGAGGCAAATACTGCTGAAGTGAAGTAAAGCATATATTCATTTTGAGATGCGGTATCACGAAATGCTCCTTTCATGTTTGAAAGGAAGTTGTCTGGGATAGAAGAAATCCACTTATTCACTGCAAGTCTGACGCGATTACAACGGGCGCGAAGGTCAGCGTAAGAAAATAACTGGGGCCGTAAGCTAAAAATCCTGGCAACCTGTAGTAGCTACATGATCAATATATATATATATATATATATATATATATATATATATATATATATATGTATATGTATATATATATATATATATATATATATATATATATATATATATATATATATATATATATATATATGTATTGGCATTTCAAAGTTCATCTTGGGATCTTGGGAATTTTTTTGCAGAAAAGCCTCAAATCTTGGGACATTTCATGTCGAACTTTATCTTGAAGAGTTGTCTTAGGTACGCATCTACGAGTGTGTGTGTGTGTGTGTGTGTGTGTGTGTGTGTGTGTGTGTGTGTGTGTGTGTGTGTGTGTGTGTGTGTGTGTGTGTGTGTGTGTGTGTGTGTAAATCTGTAATTATTTTCCCTAACTGGTATCAATTCATTAGCCAAAGCCTTCAAATTGTAATATGTCAAACGTTGGGCCGCCAGGTCGTTGCGGCCCTTACCGAGTAGTACGTTTAGTTTGGTGAAAATGACAGCAGAGGAAGTACAGAAGGGGGAAGGGAGGATTCAGCTCGCATTGATTTGTAGTTGAAATGGGCGATGGGAAGGCATGTAAGGTGTGTACAGCAGAGGAAGGGATGGGAAAGCAATTGTGGGACAGTGGCTTACCCAGAATTTTCCTCGGAGAGCCTATATATCAGTCAGAAAAGCCTATTCAGAGAGGGAGAGAGAGAGAGAGAGAGAGAGAGAGAGAGAGAGAGAGAGAGAGAGAGAGAGAGAGAGAGAGAGAGAGAGAGAGAGAGAGAGAGAGAGAGAGAGAGAGAGAGAGAGAGAGAGAGAGAGAGAGAGAGAATACCTATTTACCATTAGGAATTTCTTTAGTAAAGAAGCACATACATCGTTACAGGTCTCTACAGACTGCATATACGTGTAACGGACACGTTCAGATCTGAACGGGGCTGTGTGAAACTGCGACACATAGCGTAACAGACACGGCGTTTAATTGTGCCTGAAAGGATGATTTGTTTTACATTCAAGAGTTCCAGAAACCTAGGTTTCTAGATCCCCTATGTGGGTACGCCCCAGATGGAGGAAGTCAAGTTTCAACCAAGGGACAAGCAGGACCCTCACTTGGACGACCTTGTATGCAGGGCCAGGGGGTGTACTCGCGAGACTTGGGGACAGGGACTGGGACAGGATTATGATTTGGGTTAGGTTATGTATTTTATAAGGATTAGGAATGGGTGAAAGGTTAAGATTTGGGGAAGGACTAGGTAAATAATGGGTGGTGATCCTGCTCCTAAATATGTCAAAAGTAGGGATATAAATACATGAGATGAGGGATGATTCCACTCTTTTATTGTAATAGACAGTGTTACTAGAGGT